TAAAATTAATATTTTATATTTATATATTTAATTACTTAATATAATTAAATTTATAAAGTTAATTTATTCTATATATACTTAAATACACTTAAAATTGTGACATCACATCTGTCACAAAGAAAAAAATAAACTGCAGCATTAGGAATTGGTGAATTGTCAAAATTTTTGAATAGGTGGGTGAAGGAAGCTCTTGCAAATGAGCAAAGCAAGCAGGAAACAAAGCCCCTAGTAACATTATAATTTTATAATTTGTTTGATTTCAAAAAATTAGAATTGATTTTAAAATATTAGAATTTATTTTAGAATAAAAGTAAGATATTCTCTTATTTCTTTTGTGATTCATAAACCAAAAAGTGTTTGGTAATGCCATATAAAATAAGTACAGGTTTGATAAGTAAACCAGTGATAGTCCATCACCTACCTTGATGGCATTATGCTAGAATTTCCTTGACAGTGAATATCCCCTCAATAAGGCTTATAACAAAGTGTTTCACAATTTGTTTTTTGTAACAAGTAAAATACTTGTAAGCATTTAACTGTCATAACCTGAATTGTATTGGCATCTTATTTTAAAAAGTATTGTATTAATTTTTTCTTATAGATGTTATACTGAAGAGGAATCACTAAAATATATGCATATATAACTACAGTATGAATAAATTATATTAAAAACACTTGTATTGTTAATTTAGTCACTGTGATTCTAGACAATTGAAGTTTGGCATAGAATATTGCACCAAAAAGTTTTTGGTTTATGAATCACGAAGGAAATAAGAGAATTACTTATACTCTGAATCCCTGTAAAATAATTAATAAAAGTAAGATAATTTATGAATATCTTAAAATTGGATTAACAATGTTATATTAGAAGAGGGTGGATGGAAATGTTGCTTTCCATCCATTTCCTGCTCTCTAACTACAACATATGAACATGTGCTACTGATGGCCCTCCTCTCAGGTTAGCATCTCTCTATCTATGATAGTCTTTTTAGTTTTCTATAAGAATATATTTTTATTCAGTACATTGTATATATTGTTTTTGGTATAAGATAAAAGTATTTTGTGTAGCATTAAAAGGAATCTAATTGATTTTGTATTTTGTGAAGTCTTTAACGTGCTTAATTTTGGATTTTATGTATCTGATGCCTTAGTAAAATTTTTGACATGCTGGGTTTGGGATGCATTTCAAGTTTTTATAATAATTAAAAATTAAAGCAGTAGTTAAGATTGAGATGACATTCAATTGTTATCTGTTAGACTGTTATCAGCTAAATAACTGAGGCTTTTAACATGAGAAGAGGGGTTCAAATACCTCTTATTTACCCCAACGATGATGATAAATAATACTCTTATAAAATTTTATTTATTTTAATCGGTGTATTCTAACTTATACTTTTACACATAATAACAATATCTATGATGACAGTAAGTGAAGGCTACAGTATATACGTATGTATGTATGTATGAATGATTGATAATTTTCTGTATAAAAATAAAGAATTTGTTTGTCAGGCATTAAATTTATTTTGAAAACAAAAAAATATCACTATAGCGAAATAAGTTTTTATTTTGCAGTGGACACTATTAAATGTTATAATAGATAGATAGATTATTATTGATATATAAAAGAAGAAATGTAAATAATATATTCAGGAATCTCCAATATTTCTGTATGATTGTGAAGTAGCTGTCACAATCAAAATTAACTCAGTCCCAGAATATAGGAATTCATTCTTACTCCTTTAATCAGTTTACAAAAATTTTAAAATCATCATTGTCTATTTATTTTTACAAAAATTAAACAGTAAAGAGTCTTTATTTTTGTACTATACCAATGTTGAATATGAATTAATTCATCTGCCTGTTAGTATCATCTGTGGCTGCTTCCATTCCAATGAGTTTACTATTGTTTGTTTATTGTCTTGAATTAAACTTAAATCTAGAATTCCTGTTACAAATTGATAATCTGGACATTATAGCCTAAAACTTCTACTCAAAGCTTTTCATGTATAGTGTTGTTGTAACCAATCATCCAAGATTTCCTATGTTATCACTGGATATAGCTACATACATTGTACATTACATGCGGTCCACCAAATATTTCATAATTTTTTGTGACCGCCATTTTTTTAAATAATAATTTATATTTGTTTAATTATCTATAATAAATTGATTTTTTTTTATTATTGCTTTATTTTTAAAATTTCAAGCATTAATAGTTTCTTAGAATTACTTTGGAATAAAAGAAGTAAATACTGCGGTGTAAGTAGCATATTTGCATTTATTTCTTCTGTACTAACAAAGTTGTATGTAAGAAGAAATAAATAAACAAAAACTAAATACGAAAACTTTATCTTTCTTATTTCACTTTTCGATATGATATTCGGTTATACATCAATTTTCTTTTTATTATATTCTAAGTAAATTTTGCATAATTTGGCGGCCCCCCAGCAAACTTCTTACGGACCCCCAGGGGGCGCGGCCCCCTGTTAAGAAACACTGCTCTAGAGAACACTGGATACTTTAGCTGGTACACAATATGGAAGAATATTATCAGAGTTCAGAAAGTTTAATCTTAGCTTTGAGTTCATTAAAAAAAGTTTCAATAATGTTATTACTTAAATCAATTTTTCTGTTTTTATAAGATGACAAGTTTGTGTGATCACATTCTTTTAATTTATTAATATGTAATGTTAATTGGGTTAATATTGCAAGTGACATTTTTATTTAATTTTATACTGTTATCCACAGCAATATTATTTATATTTGATAATTAATATTAAATGGTTTTTTAACAGAACAGAGTTGCAATCACAGACATGGATCATGAAGTACTTCGAGAAATGCTTCGCTTTATATATACTGGTAAAGCTCCAAATTTAGAGAAAATGGCTGACGATCTTCTAGCTGCTGCCGATAAGGTATGTTGATGTCATTGTTTGGAAAGTTATTTTCAAATGTGCAGTTTTAATAATGTACAGACTAATGTATTTATTTACTTTTAAAATAGAATTACTTATATATTTTTAGTATGCTTTGGAGCGGTTAAAAGTGATGTGTGAAGAAGCATTGTGTTCAAACTTGTCAGTGGAAACAGCAACTGATGTTCTTATATTGGCTGACATGCATAGTGCAGATCAGTTAAAAGCACATGCAATTGATTTTATTAACACGTAAGTTAAGTTTATACATTTTTTAAAAATTACATTGAATTATCTTAAATAATTTATAATTGTATTTTCAGTCATGCAGCTGATGTCATGGAAACAGCAGGTTGGAAAAATATGGTCTACAGACATCCACATTTGGTTGCAGAGGCTTTTCGTGCCTTGGCAACACAACAAATCCCACCTATAGGACCACCTCGTAAAAGAATCAAACAATCATAGGGACATTTAGCATCTGATTTGTACAGTTTTTCATTCATCTGCTTAATATCAAACTGCAATAAGTTATTTTTTCAATGTTCTACCTCCCGTGTTCCCGGCCTTGTCTTCCGCCATCAGACAGCTCAGCTACCATAACAGGATAAGCTGTCTACCTCACCACCGACTAAAGGAGGAAATGAAATTAGTCTTTTTTTAGCACGAAATTAATTTTGTTATGACTGCATTTTTTGTGAAAAGTTCAACTTCCAAAATATTTGTGTTTCTAAACAGATCATCCAAAGTTTTAGTGTATTGTTATAGTGATGGTCTGATTTATGGTATCAACCAAAGAACTTCGTGATATTGAGGATGCATCTGATTTTTTGTTTTCATGGTCAGTGAAAAATTCCACATGCATATAAAATATATATATATATATATAAACATTTGGAAATAAACTTTTTTCCATCATCATTGAAGTGCTTTTTAAAATAAATTCAAGGAAATAAATCATCTTTCATTAAATCAAGAACTATAATATATCATGTTGATATACCAAAAAAGAAATGCTGCTGCATTTGTGCATGTCTGTGTAGAATTAAGGAAAAGTTTTACATGTGACTTATTCTAAAGGATACCACAATGTTCCAAACAGACTTGATGCTTATGGACCAAACTCTCTTAAAATATGAGGCACAAACAGAATATCTTTATTTTGCAGTACAACAGTTTAGGGTCTTCTTATTATTAGTTTTCTTTACCTTCCCAATATCTTAAGTTGGAAGTACCTCAAATATTAGGAAAACCGAGCTTGTAAAAATTAATCTGTGATAAATTCTGTTTTATGCAGCAGTTGAAAGAATTATAATTTTAGCTAGTCTGAATTAGTTTTAATTTAAGTTTTCCCCCCTCTCTCCTATAATTAGGAAAATTCAACAAAAGTTGCAAGCAAATGCTTTTGTTACATTGAGTTTTTTCTATTGATGAATTTAAACTCTCCGTGATGTGTTGTAACATACATTCATCAATGTATATATTGTCACAAAACTGTACAACAGATTTGTGGTGGTGTAACAACAACTGTCAGGTATATGTTATTGCCAAAAGTTTGCTCTTCCTGTAATAATTGCACTGATTCTTCATACTTAGGATGTAATTTCTTCCTATTCTTCTATTAAAACTGTTTTTAAATTGTGGATTAAGTTTAACACAAAAATATCAATAATCCAAAATCTTAAGTGACAATTTGGATTTTTTCTTTTTATTTAAAAGAAAGTATAAAATCAAAGCAAGAAATATTTTCATACTTATTTATTATTAAAAGAAATATCAGCTTCAGCACTTTATACCATTAAGGACAACAGCACTAGATGTTTGTCTATGCAATTTCGAAATATATATTGTTGACTAGAATTTTCACAAATTGATTCAACTGTTAAATGTGCATCATAAAAATAAAGAAAAACTTCTTATTAAATAATAAGCTTGATGGTTCAGATCATTTGTCAAATTATTCACTGTGTTAATGCTAATTTATAAATCTTTCATTGTAATGTATTAAGAACTTTTATTTATACTAGTTCCTGTAAACATCACAATATCAAATGCATGATTGTAAAAATTCACCCAAAAGTTGCCAAAATCAAATAATTTTCCTCTGTTTAGTATTTTGTAACATTTTATATTTTCTTTATTGTCTTCTGGGATAAATTCTGATCTAAAATTTCAAATGTATGATGTAATACTGTATGATCTGAACATATGAGGCATGCTTACGAGCGTGCAATATCAAAGGCTATGGACTTCTACCAATCTCGGCATTTCAGTTTCATATTAATTGATTCTATTTATCTCTTATTACTAGATAAAATATCTAAAGATTTATTGGGCAGTAAATTTTTACATCCTAAATCTCAGTAATCGAGAATATTTTAACAATGACAATGATATTTATTCTTTGGAAAAGTTGGCCTCTTATTCTTGTATTTTTTTTTTTTTTTTTATAGTACAGAGCATAAATCAGCCTGAGTATTCAGATATGTCAGCACTGCCCAATTTTATGATTTCAAATGCCTAATATTATATAAGTACAAAATATTTGTTTTATAAGAGCATTATTGGTGGAGGTCCTTGTCTGATGTGTTTTGCAACTGTAGAGGGACCTTGCTTCTTAGCACTTGTTGAATAAAAACTTAGTGACAAAACATTGTATGGCATTTGTCTTTATGAACAATCTAGATAATCATTAATTATTTTTTAAAATATAAAGAAATTTTTATTTACTTGAATAAAAGGTACTTCTAAAGTTAAGTTTATTTTATTATAATAATTATCCATAAAAAATTATCACAATACATTCAATAAAAATTCACATAATATGTTTACCTTATTCGGTATACACTAAGTCAATTATCATCTACAGTTGTAGATTCTGAATATGATGACAAAAATAGAATAAACATATGTTATGATTTCTAGCTTATTTTTCCATTTAGAGTTATGCAGGTACTACCATGAAATTACTGTAGTCCATAAGAATATATTTCAGCTAAGAAGTATAGGATTAAAGGGAAACATACATTCAGTAATAAACTGCTTACATATTAATAATAAATCAAAATTTGTACTAATGTCAGATTACAAAGTGCAGGGGCATGGGTTCAGCCCCAACTAAACATTATTTTTTGAGTAGAGAGAAGTACATAATTAAATTCATTTTGTTAATTTATTCAAGATATATCAAATTATAACATACATATATCTGTACATTAAATATTATGACTGACATTTGCACATTTATATCCAAACTTTCAGACTGGCCATATTCTTAATGACAGTGTTAATTGAGTGATTGCTTATGACCCAAAATAAAACTATATAATTTTAAGTGTGGGAAAGTATATACACATATATATATAGTACATGCTTTGTCTTTATATAATATATCAATACAAATAGTCCTTTCAACAACAATAATAGAACATACAGTAATTGCCTAGAAACTCTTATTTTCATGTAACTAAAGAAATTTTCTAGTACATTTTATAGTACTGTAATGTATCAAAAGAAGAAACAATACATAAACTAATCTCCAAACTTTTCTGAGAAATCTGTCAAATATTTTTAGGCATAATAATGGTTTATGTTGACTACCACTTAGCGTTGTTAGATATTTGTATTTTTCAAAATTTTAAGTTTAATGTTTATGATTAACAAGAAGAGATTAAAACATAGCGCTCAGGAATTTCAATAACATGGTTCAGCGAGCTACAATATACAGTACTATAGAGTGGCTGTAGCGACGCCATGTTTAAAGAAAATTGAATACAGGTCCTCCATTTTTCTTTTAGTCAAGGAGGTGTGCCATTTGTGTTGTATAAAGGCAATGAGCTAGAATACTCTTAACTCGTGTAAAAGAGTGAAAAAGAAAGGAAGAGTTTTAACCCTTAACTAAGATGGTGCGAGTCAAAATGACCCTACTTATTTTTTTAATTTTGAAAATAAGTCATTTCTTTTTTAACCCTTTATTTAAACGTTTCTAGGCAGGACAAAATATGGTATTCAGTAACGATAAGTTAAGTGCATTTCTAAACATTCTTAATTTTACTTCCCTGGCTATATATAACAGCAGCCATACACAATAAGGGAAAGCATTGGAAACGTCAAATTTGACCCTCAGTATTTTGTAAATCTCCACGTTTTGAGACCTGAACCAAAAAAAACAAAAAAATCAGTGTATGTGTGTGTTGGCGTCTGTAAGAAACGAAATTTGGCATGATAGCTTGGGTATAAAGAATTGATGCTTCTTCTTAATTTAATAGCATCATAACTCCTTAATATTAGAGGTGGGGAGATAAAGGGTTCATGTGTCATATCTTGAGAGAGGTCGGACTTGAAGATGTTATTCGTTATTAACATTTACAATATTTTTTTATATATATAAAACTCGTCACCTTCTCNATAAAAAATGTTGAATTTTTAAATTACAAAAGTAATATTTTCAGATATTTGGGTTGACAAAATATAAGGTAGAGGTCCCATTTTGGCCCGACAACTTTGGACTCTTATTTTGACCAACTCAAACTTTACTTTCCCGACTGTTATGTATTTAAAACGGGAGAATATTGGAATCGTGTTAAATTTGACCGTCTAGGATTTTTGCAAATCTTAATGTTTTGAGACCCCGAACTCAAAATGTCAAAAGTGGGTAATTTCGTGTGGAAATTTTCTCCCTTATATGCATCTATGTGTTTGTTTGTTCGTTTAATATTTCAGGATGAAGGTAATGATTAAGAAGTGAAATTTCGCTTAGTAGCATGTGTATAGGAAGCATTGATGCTATTAAATTTGGAGAGTTAGATCGAGGAAGGTGTCATATCTCGAGTGGGGTCGGACTTAATGAAGACTTTACTCATTATTAGCATTTAGAATTTTTTTTATAAATCTCATTTCTACCCTTAAAACCAAGCTTTATGTCATATCTCGAGTGGGGTCGGACTTAATGAAGACTTTACTCATTATTAGCATTTAGAATTTTTTTTATAAATCTCATCACTACCCTTAAAACCAAGCTTTTTGCCATTCGATAATAATTAAAAATTTAAAAAGTTATAAGTAAAGGTTTCTTCTAATAGTGAGACTATTGGTATTTATCATGTCTGTCTTAATTATCAGCAATTAACAGAGAATAAGATTAAAACAGTTCACTTTATTTTGCCTATTTAATAATGCATTTCGAATTAGTAATTTTCCATGAATCCCTCTTCAGGCTCATCGTTTCAGTGTCTAAGGTTGTCTACAACATAACAAAAGGTTAGTTTATGTTAATATACTTTTGTTATTCAGAATGATGCATATAAGTGCACAATTCGTACACATCCTAATGGTCCAGTTTCTATATATAAGTTTCTTTCACTTACATGTTTTCTTTGTCTATTTTTGATGTCAAAATATAACACTTCTTCCATTTCCTACAATTATTAGTTCCTTATTACCTCTTAGAAGGATTTTAACTTCAACAATGTGGTTCATAACATGACAATGGTCAAAATGTAGTGTTTCATTGTAAATATTTTCAAAGTTGAAATCAAAATTTTCACAAACTATAATTATAATAAAAACACAACACACACAGTATTCTGCAAAAAAAAACAGTCCGAAAAAAACAACGTACTGAGTATGTACTGTACGGATCAGACTGACCTGAGTACACTACAGTCGACCCCCCTATAACACTGTTCATTATTCCATTACTATAACATTTTACCATTGCCATTTATTCACAATCTTTGGCCCTTTCGTCCACACCCTCAGTCGTCTTCGAGCAACCTTCTTACAACGATTACGAAATCTTTACGGATGGTTCGAAAACAGATATAAACGTTGGTTGTGGTTCTTGTTTACCAGAATAGGCAGGAGATTGCTCTGGGCCAGTTCAGATTGGGTGAACAATGCACTATTTTTCAAGAAGAACTTTGTGCCTTGAAAATGGCCATTACTTGGGCTAACAATGTCCATCATAAACAAATAGCTATCGTTACTGATAGCTCTTCCTTTATTGCAATTCTTCGTAAAGGATCCTTACACCCAATCGTTTTTGACATTCACACTCTCATTTCCAAGTCTTCCAATCGATATTATATTTAGCCTACTAGACTCGTGCACATATAGGCACCCATGGTAGTGAAAGCTAAGGCAGCTTCCAACAATAATAATCTTAATATTTCTTATGATAAAATCAGCACCAGTACTCTCAAAAGAATTTTCTGGCAGGATCTTCTATTAATCACCAAATACTTTGCACGTACTACAGTCAGTGGCTTTTAGTCAGCTTTGTACTCAATCACTCTCTTGAGTACGAGCGTTACTATCTTATTCCGATTCATCAAATAACTCTAATATATGTATCTTCATCTTTAAAGTTTTTCCAGCAGCCATCATGTTACACATTATCAGCCTTAGGATGTCTGGCATACGTTTAGTTTATCCTGATTATTCAGTAGTTATTCTCTACCAAAGTATACTGTTTACGTACAGACAGTAACAAAGACTGCAGCACTAAGTTTACAGTGCACTCTATATACATTAGCGTTGAAGAACATTTTTCTTCATCCTACTTTGCTTGTGGCTGTCTCTTTTAATGGACGGACTCTATGTATTGGTGTTGACTGTGACTGGGTTTCAGCTGGTATCCTTTGTTTTTTGTTTTTTTGTGTGTGTGTGTGTGTGTGTTTTCAGGGTTTGCAGAGATGCCACCTTAGGATATAGGATTCATCTTACCGCATTCGCAGACCTACTTAAACAAATTTTGTGAAACCTTTTGTGGAATACCTTGGGATCTCATCTGTGTTTTTGCAGCAAGCCACCTTAGGATATAGGATTCATCCTACTGCATTAGCAGACCTACTTGCATAAACAAATGCTTGTGCAAGTTTGTGGAACCCTTAGTGGAATACCTTGGAATCTCAACTGTGTTTTTGCAGCATGGGCGCAACTGCCGCCAACTCAACTTTTAACAATAGAATCTTGAGGAACTTTCTCATTGACCTCATTCTAATTTTGGTGCATGTTATCTATGTGGTAGCAGGTCCACTTGACCTACTAGGAAATTAAAAAAAAAAAAAATTATGACCTGACTTTTGTAGGTCCATGACACACTTAAATTGTGAAGAACGTAAAAAAAAAGTGATAAATAACATGAAAGGATTTGAAAGAACATAAAAGATGTAGAAAGGAAACGACAGAATTCAAAAACAAAAACTTTTTGAGGCTTCTCAGAACCTCCCTGTCCCATAGTGTGTCTTTAGGTGGGCTACCACAATGTCGCGACGTTTTATGTGTATTGTTTTATATTATTCTTGTAATTTGTAAATGTTTTATTATTTTTTATTTGTTAATCTTAATTTTATTTTTTCTATATAATATTTCAATTACATTTATTCACTGTATTCACTTTGTTTCTGGATTCACTTGGCTGTGTGTAAACGGCGCCAAGTATGTACTAATTTTTTGTATGTTTCATTAAAAGAATCTGTATAAATAAACAATCCTATGGCTGAGAGTAAAGCCCTTTAAGATCTGGCTCGAGCTTAGATTATAAAAATATTGTTATATTGGGGGTTTAGTACTTCACTTACCACTTTAAACTCTGATCTTATTTTCTTTATAATAATTAAATAAAATCTAGAAAATAACTAAATTCGAGATAAAAC